CATTGCTATAAATACATTTTTCAAAAAATGCTCTCTGTGCAAAATGGGTTTAAAAACATAAACAACTGTGGGATCCTGTTTGTCCGTGATTTAAACAGCCCAACGCTGCTCCCGACGCAGGGAAAAGCAATTCTGCAGGGAGACGTACCTCGGCACTTTTGCAGGTGAAACCAAAGGGAATATTTGCTTCACCATATTTTCTAGTCTTTGGCTTAGAATGAAGTTGGTTTGGAAACTTATTCAGCGATGCTTCATCTCCTGCTTTGCGTTTGTGTGGGCACCCCGTGCTAGCAGTGTCCAAGCGTTTTGTTTTTTCCCCCCTTTTTCATACCGCGCCCCCCCCCTGCAATGGCTCTGCGCCCCCCACACTTTGGGAAGGTCTGGTCTATGCGATGGTATGCCATATCTGGCCCGATTATGGTATTAAGCTGGCACTTGTGACTGACTGGTGTCATGGCAGGGTGTATGTCAACCAGATGTGGGCCAGGTCTGGCAATGATGCACTATTTATGTTCCTGTTTTCCTGTTTTAGTTTGAAGACCCAAATGCCATGTTGCAACAGCTGTGGTAGTGCCAATCTTGAAAAAGCTTGTTCTGGATGTTGACATGGTTGTAAACTATGGACCCATCTCACATCTGTCTTTTTTTGTCCAAGATCTTTGAAAAAGTGGTTTTCAAGCAGCTCACTGAGCATCTGTCAATTAACAATCCGTTTGAAGCATTTCAGTCTGGTTTTAGACCAATTCAATTCAATAAAACTTTATTGATCCTGAAGGTTGACCTCGAAGGAAATTGGGTTAAGGCTGCCGACCTTTGCCAGCGCCGACCTACCCTTCTGACCATACATACATTACACAAACATCACATGGGGAAGACAGGTCAGAGAGGTATAACAGTGGAAAATGCACCACATGAGGAAAGATAAAGAGAAAAAAAAATAACTCCCCCCAGACTGAGCTCCAACAGGGTAATGGCAGTAAAGGGTGAGAGACAGCCGATTTAGATAGTACATCCGGGCCTGCAGCCTGTGCGCTTGTCTCCTTGATCCACCGTCTGCATCGGAAGGGAATAAGCGTCGAAGGCGTTTGGAAAGGGAGGGGGGATGAGTGTGTGCATATCAGTGTATATGTATGTGTGTGTGTTTCCAGAGTTCAGCTGAGACAGTGTCCTTCGCCCTGCTAGGCTAAGTAAACAGTCTTCCAGCCAACCCAGGTGGCCTTGCATAGAATGGGAAGGAACAGACTCAACCAAGTCGTTATCAGGGATTTTCTGTGCGGTGGGGCACGGGGTCCCTCAGGGCTCTGTACTTGGCCCACTGCTGTTCTCGCTGTATTTGCTGCCTCTTGGTCTTCTTTTGCATTCTTTTAATGTAACCTTTCATTGTTATGCTGATGACCTGCAGCTTTAGCCCACTGCTGTTCACCCTGCTAACACATGACTATACTGCACAGTACAGCTCAAATCACATCATCAAGTTTGCAGATGACACAACAGTGGTGGGTCTCATCACCAACAACGATGAGTCTGAATACAGAGAGGAGGTACAACACCTGGTGGACTGGTGTCAGAATAACAGCCTGTCTCTAAATGTTCAGAAGACTAAAGAGATGGTTGTTAACTTCAGGAAGAGCTCAATGGCCCACACCCCACTGCACATCAATGGATCTGCTGCTGAGATGGTCATTAGTGTGAAGTTCCTGGTGTGCACATATCAGCTGACCTCTCCTGATACATAGTGAAGGACACTCTCCACCCCTCACATGCACTGTTCTCCCTCCTTCCATCTGGCAGAGGATTTTGCAGCATTAAAACCGTGACGACCAGAGCAAGAGCTTCTTCCCCCAAGCAGGCAGGGCCCTTAACTCACTACCACAGAAGGACTGATATACACATACACCTCTACAGACACCTACAATGCTCATCAAAGGACTCAAAAACAACAAAAAAAACCCCACAAATGCACTACAAACTGGACCTGGGAACAACATGCTTATTTGCGCACTCAGTCACATAGCTCTGAACACACACCTAAATTATACTATATTGGCACATTTTGCATTTTGCACGTCTTTGTCATGTCTCGTCAATAATATCCTGACAATAACTTGAAACACTGCAGAGGTTCTTCTTCATGCATTCGTGTTTTCACATATCGATTATTGTAACGCTCTCCTTTGTGGGCTGCCAAAGAAAAGTTTTAGAGGTTTACAGATGGTGCACAATGCAGCTGCTTGCATTTTAACTAAAACTGGAAAATGTGAGCACATTAGTCCTGTACTGAAATCCCTTCATTGGCTAGCTTGTCAGGTTCGAACAGATTTTAAGGTCCTGCTTTAAATCAGGGGTCCCCAATCCCAGTCCACGAGGGCCGGTGTCCCTGCAGGTTTTATATGTGTCCTTGATCCATCACACCTGATTTAAATGGATAAATTACCTTCTCAGCGTGTCTTGAAGTTCTCCAGAGGCCTGGTAATGAACTAATCATGTGATTCAGGTGTGTTGACCCAGGGTGAGATCTTAAACCTGCAGGGACACCGGCCCTCATGGACTGGGATTGGCGACCCATGCTTTAAATGGTTTGGCACCTTCATACCTCTCCGACCTTTTACACCTTTATGTTCCATCCCGTGCTCTCCGATCTCAGGACTCTGGCCTGTTAAAAGTTCCTAGAGCCAGAAAAAAGACTATTGGGAGAAGACCCACTTGTTCACCCTATCCTACATGTCTCCATTCTCTGCCATTTAGTCTTTGACATTTTTATCGTTTTTAACTTTTATTGTGTTTTTTAACTTGTATTGCTTTTATTCATTTATCTCTTTATTTTCAAATAGCTGTACAGCACTTTGTTTGAAAGTGCTTTATACATAAAGTTATTATTATTATTAATGGAATATTTATGGAATATGCAGCTTTTTCAAGTATTAACTTGGTGGCTTTGGCAATAATGGTAATATGACTGATCCATATGGGCACAAATAATAGACACTTTTTTGTTCTAACGATGTTCCCCGACTTTCAAAATCGGTTTATCGTGAGCACCGACACATGAAACAACTTAAACAATATAACGGCTTCAAGCTCACACTGAGGCCTGTGGACACTGTCAGCCACTGAGACAGTAGACACATGTTTGTGTTTCGTTCGTGAATGTTTCATACTTTAAGGCTGCCTGTTTATTTAAGGGAGATGATACAATACATTATAACTGTACATAATGATATCACAGATGATAGACTAAATAAACAGATTTTAGATAGATGCTTGTGCATTCTTAGTCTTATATGTTGAATTGAACTGAGTCTGTCATCTGTTCACAGCCTCTCCCAGTCAGTGCTGTAGTCCATGCCTGTCTCACTGTACATGATGTTTTCAGCACAAACACTTTAAAGGTGATAATTTAATAATACAGACAGCAGTGTAGTCAAACACTGTTAGTTTTATTGGGAATAAACTTTAAAAAAAACCCACTAACAAACATCTGTCTCCTATTTTGTGTGTCATATAGGAAAGAAGCATCAATATCTGATGAGAAGACTTGCTGTGGGTTATTTTGTGGTGTTTGGTGCAGTTTTCTTGTTTTGTGGGCTTGTTTATTTTCAAGGGGAGATGAATATCTCTTACAGGTTGATTTGTTCACATTTTCACATCTTAATTTTTAAGTGAAATGTGTGTTTTCAGTTTATACACTATATGCATATAAGGCAGCCCTTTGCTTTTGCAGTATTTTTGTGTGGTGTGTTTTTTCTCTGTTTTAACAAAAAGGGAACAAAGGAGTCAACCTAAGATGATTTGTTTTAGTCTTACTGAGGTGATGCAATCATGCATTCTTTTTTTGATAATGTGCCGGAAAAGCTTGAAAATAGACCTTGTAAGTGCTTAAAAGTGCTTGACTTTGACCCTGAAAAGTCGTATGAGCCCTGTGCTCAACTTTATCAATCAGGAAATGAATAAACTGACTATCATTTGATGTAACAAACTCAGACTATTAGCTTAACCTGCTTCTTCAGCCTGTTGAATACTGAACAACAGTTTGTGGCTTGGAGTTATCTGCTCAGATCTGTCCTCTCGCAGTGGCTGCTAGTCTGCCAAATGTTTGCAATATTTGCCTTACTGTTCTCAGAGAGTGTGCTGTGACTCTTAAACCACACAGTTTAACCAGAATAGCTGATGTAGGATGGGGAAATGAAACAGTCAGACAAGTGAACAGTTTCGATTCAGAAAAAAACTGAATCAGACTGTAGTCGATTATTTTAAAGCAGCCACACTGCATTTTCGCAGGAAATGCAAATTTTTCTAGTTACAAAGTGTCTTTAAACAGCAGAGGTGCAGAAGTGTGTGCATGTACCACAGAGCTGTGGCTCAGTGTCGAGTCTCACAGGCTTGAAGACATTTATTATTATTAACTTGTTTGATCTGCTGCTCAGCAGAAACGGGCACAAGCAGACATTTTGGACTATGTATTGTCAAGTTTTACAGCTTTTCCTACTGATAAAAACTGATCCCACTGATCCTTTATGGACGTTCATATTACACAAAGTAATCAAGAAATAAACAATTAAATGACAGAAGAATTTCTGTTTTGACTACAGTTTAAACAAAAAACAAAATCCACAATGCTTCCTGTAATTTTACACATTTATTTCCAACAGTTTAAGTCCATGAAAATTACTTACTTCCTCATGTAGCTTTCTTTTTTTTGCACAATACCATTTTTTATTTCTTCAAGTCTATTTTTAGCACAAACAAATTATAAATAATAAATATTTAAAATTTGTTCATAAATTATAAATAAATTATGTATGTATTCATTTTACAAGCCCTGTCGTATTCACCTGTTTTATTTTGCTTTTTTGTTTTTAATCTCGAGTTTGTTGTTACGTTGTCTGTTTTCTGCAAAGCACTCATTGAATTGCGGCCAGCTCAATGAAAGGGGTTATAATAAAATGAACTAAATTTCTGGTCATGTTTGCCCTGTGTGCTTTCTGTGTGTGTGTGTTCAGACGTGTGTTAGCAGCAGCTGTCGTGGTTTTCCTCGGCCTGGTGTTGGTCTCTATGCAGCTGCTGAGCACAGGACCAATCAAACCTGCAGAGTGGGTCATCAACCCTGCACATAGAAAGGTGAGAGCACAGTAGAGCAGAGTGTCCATGGTGTGGGTTTAGTGACTTATCTGTATTCAGAAGTGAAGAATCGTGATGGGGTAAAGGTCTGCAAGAGTTCAACATGTGCAGCACTCTGCCCTTCCTTCCTTCTTAAGTCAGATGTTTACATACATCCTGTCTCAAACCAATAGTGTCTACAGTGGAGTAAAAATCTGAGATTGGTAGCATAACTGATATAGTGTGTGTGTATATATATATTAGGGGTGCAACGATACACAAAATTCACGGTTCGGTTCGACACTTTGGTGTCACGGTTCAATATTTTTCCGATACAAAAAAATGTTCATGCCTTTTTAATTTGTCATTTATTA